GAGCCTCTCAGGTGACTCTTCACTGCTGGCTGTGGCATTCACATTCTCTGGTAAAATCCCTTTGCCCAGGATTTTTCTCCTGGGAAGCTGAGAAGCCTCAGAGAAAAGGAAAACAATTCTTATCTCATTTGCTTCTCCTCTGTTTTGCTCATGTGGAATGTGTTTGGAGACTATTTTCCCACAGGTGATTGTTCCATTGGATTCTGCTGTGAGTTGTTTTCACTCGTTGGTCAATCAGGGCCAAGCTGTGTTGGGACTCTGGAAAGAGTCACGAGTTTTCATTATTATCTTTTTAGCATTCAGGAAATATCCTTTCTGTATTCTTTAGTATAGTTTAGTTTAGCATAGTTTAGTATACTATTCTTTAATATAATATAATATAGTATTAAAAAGTAATAAATTAGCCTTCTGAGAACATGGAGTCAGATGCATCATTCCTGCCTTTGTTGGAGCATTCCCAGCAAATACAGTAGCTGGGAACTGTGCTCTGTGTGCCCACATTTGAGATTTGGTCCCTGGAGTTTTCACTGTCACAGTGGGAGGGAAGCAGGACATAAAACTGATCTCACTGAGGGACAGTGTACATGGTACTTTATTTCTGGTGGTATTGTCTTCCTGTGAGATTCTGTAGACCTGCCTACATTTGGGGAAAGTCCCTGATTGATTCACTTTGATCTCAAAGGTGTAATTCAAACCTGGTTACTTATTTTATGTTTAATTCAGTTCATTTAGGATTCTGTACGTGGGTGTGTGGGTGTGCACAGCCATGCAGAAGCACATGAGTGATTGCACCTCTGGCCTTTTCTGGGCTTTTGATGGCAGCAGTGAAGAAAGAAATAAAATAATTTCTTCCCTCTGTAGTTTGTGTGTATCTTTAGGTGATGTGGCTTGGACTGATTGCTCTGTCCTTGAGGAAAAGCACTGCTGTCGCCCTCTGGCCCTCTTCTCCTTTTGAAACCTTCATTTCTGCACAATATAATTTGTCTAAATAGGAAAAGCTTTTACATTAGCAGCAGGAAATGTGAACCAGCATGTTTACCACCTGGGGCTATACATGTGTGTATAAAACATTCCTAAATGGAATGCATAATATACAAAATCTTTTTATTTGTCACCTGCCAGAATGTCCACATGCCCTGTGATCAGTCCATTAGCATTGAAAGGGACAATCCTTTCCCTGGGCACCCTGCTCTGAAATAATTGATTGGAGTCACCACTTTGCTTAATTTCATTGCTGTTGGTTTGGCTTACAAAAATGTGGATGTGTTTTCTTTTTAACAATACGCTTCAAGCAATGCTGTTTTTCTTGAAGCTAAAAATATTTCTGTATAAAATGTCACATCTAGAATATCACATTTGTTATTAACCTGCAAGGAAGCCTGAACTTTTGTACTAGAAGTGAACAGGGTCACCAGAACAATTTGTTCTTTGTCTAGCCTGTTACACATCAACTCTAAAGATTTCCAAAGACCCTCTGGACTGCTGTAGGTTAGAAACTCATTTCCGAAAGAACCAAGGCACTTTACCTCTCACTGGCTGCAGTCAGCCACTACCCAGATTCCATCCCAGTGGTTCTCCCATTGAGAAATTTGATTTTTCTGTGTGACTCATTTTCTGTAGACTCTGGGCTTTTTTTTTCTTTTTTTTTTCATTTTTTGTTTTTGGTTTTTTGTTTTGTCTTGTTTTGTTTGTTTGCTTGTTTGTGTTGGTTGGTTGTATTTTTTTTTAATGGCTTGCTGTTTGATTGGCATTTCTCCATTAATTTTCATTTCTGTCCCTTGAGGTGAGGCTGACTGCTCTGTGGGGTTTTGTCCTCTTCTGGCTCCTCTGACAAGGCTGTTTTTTTTCCCCTTGGTTTTGATAAGAGGATGTAACAGTGGAAGAGCTAAAAATTGGTTTGGTTTAAAATAAGGCTGGAATTTCTTTCAAATTGAGCTTGACAGTAAGAGAATACATTCTCCTCATTAACATCACCTGGAGACCAAGAGGAGTATAGCAGCAGAACACTGTGCATTTTATAACTTCATGATCATTAAAAGCAGGATTTTACTGCAGAAGAACATTTGTAGTCTCTTTAGTTGCTGGCTATTGTGTCATATTAGATTTTAGGACACTCTTTAATTAATTCTAATGTGGCAAATTGAAAACCTACCCTTCTTTCATGAGTTTGTGCTTCTGACTCAGAAACTTGGGTGCCTTATTTCATCAGTGGAAAATAATTTAATAATTTGTAGTGTCCTTTGGTTTGCACATTGTTAGTTTAGGGTGCAGTTTTAGTTCATGCTTTCCAGTTTGAATTTGGGCTCACTGGTTTTCATGGACCACTAGGCTTTGTAGATCTAACAAACTAAAATTTCTGCAATCATGCATTGAAATTAGTTTGTAAGGCTTTCATGGGGATTCAGTCAAATGGTGTGAGAGACTTTGCTGTGGTTGTGTGGTAACTAAGTGAAGCAATTTTGAGTAGTTTTTGGTGTGTACAATGCACAGAACTGTGTTATTTCCAAATGCAGCAACTCAATATGAAACAAGACAAGAGTTTTCCCCTGCCCATTCTCAAAAGACAGATTGCTGTACTTTTTTTTTAATGTCATCTTTCTCCATGTAAAGCTTCATGGAGAAAATCTGAGAGAACAAGGTCTAAAATACTCCCTGAGACTTGAGGTGTCACAGGGTTGTCCCCTGCAGAATAAAAATGCCTTTGCCTTGATTGCCATTGCTGTGGATTCAGTGGAGACTGTGGTTGTGCTTGTGCTCAGGGTCTCATGGCAAAGTGAGTCTATTCTGAAGGCCATCCACTCTATTAATAAATAATTGTTCTGTGTACATTTTCCACTGGCTCAGGAGGAAGCAAAAGTGGTGCCTTATCCCAGCTGTGTTTGGTCCTAAGGCAGGAAAACACAATTGGATGGATGAGGCTCTCTGGGAAGTCACAGGGCTGGATGTGAAAGCAAAAATAGCTGGGGTAAGAGAATGAGAGATACAGAGTGGGAAACTTGTTTTCTTGTATTTCTTCCTTTCTGCCTTTCTCATGGGGGTTTGTGTTCAGAGCCTTGTGTTGTCTGGTTTTTTTCTTTCTCCTGAGGAGATCAGCAAGGATCTCCTGGCAATCAGATGAGAAAGACAGAGACTGAAAACTTCCTGATTGCACCCAGACCAAGTGGAGAAGCACAGGCAGAGTGATTATCCAGGGATTCCAGTATTTATGGTACTGATTTAGCTTTATTTTTTAAATAAATCATCTTTTCACTCCTTATTAAAAAAACCAAGAAGTCTAAGTTTCAATTAGGCAGATTTCTTTCACTATTAAAGCCAGTAAAGAGAAATATTTTATTTAACTCAGATGCATTCAAGTATTTTTGCCAGGTACTTATTCTTTGTGTTTTACAAATGTTCATATACTACAAATAAGAGCAGATATTGCTGCTCCCCTCTACTCCTTTCTGCTATTAAGGAAGGGAAGATTTGTAGTTGTGCATGATTAATGTGTTTCTCTTTGTCCTGTGGGTTTTTTTTTTTCTATTTTACATTAGGTTTGAGAGGCATGTATTAACAAGATAATACAAACTGATCGATATGGTTTGACTACATATATATATATATATATATATATATATATATATACTATTCCAATAATGAAAGAAGCCAATGATAACCTTGACATAAAAACATCTGTTGACAATATTTGAAGTTAAATTTAAAGTAGCTACTGCAAAAAAAATATTGTTGATTCTTTGTAATGATATCTTTAAGGTCCAGTCCTGTACAGGTTTCTTTGAATTGATCAGATTTATTTCTTTTTTATAAAATATAAATCTTACTTTCCCTCATACCCTGCCATACTTGGTAGTGTTTGTATGGACTTGCAGTAGTTCTCTTTTCCTTGGTTAGCCACCTGATTCTTCAGTTAGATATTTAAGCACAGAAGCCAAAGAATCAGTCATCCTTGTAATTAGCTTTCTTTGGTTTTTAAGAGCCAGCAAAGAAAGGTTTGTCATTATTTCAGGCAGATCACCAACTCTGCTGTGTTAAGGTTCTGAACTGTTCTCCCTTTAAAGGTTGACTGTGTTCTGCATGCTTTAATGTGCATATTTTTATAAAGATGATCTCACAAATGAATGTGTCTCAGCTATGTTGAGAGTCATTAGAAACAGAAGATTTTTCTCATTCTTATTTTGTTCTGGTTGAAAAGAATACTAAGGAAGTTGTTTCTGTTACAGAAGTAACATCCTATCATTTTCTCCCTGAAAGCCTCCAAGGGTTCACCTTCTTTGGTCTCATTTCTGTCTGCAGAACTGGGCTGTTGGCACAGCTGGCATTGGGTGGATGTGTGTTTTTACTGGCAGGGAATACACATGAAAGGGCTTTGCTGCAGACAACATCCCAAAGGTCTTCTAAGTCTTCTTCTCAACTAGCTTGGAAATTGTGCATATTTTCCTTGGGGAGTCCAACTCTCTTCTCTGCCTGAGCAGAGTTGACCTAAAGAGCTTTTCTGGTGGGAATCCAGCATTGCTGCTTCTCCCTTGGAGGGGGAGGTTGTCCTGGGCTTCATTCACATACAGGCAATGGCTATTGGCATGAGGAAAAGGTAACAGGTTTATCTGAAATGCTGGAAAAGGAGCTGTACAATTCAACTTCTGCTGGAAAAGCTGGGGCAGTTTCTTTCTTGCTGGAACTTGTTGTTAAGCAGTCACCTGCATTTAAGAATTTCATAAATTCTGGAGAAATGATTACTGAACTTAATCAAATCTTGGTGAATTGCCTGTCAAAAAAAAATACAGTGAGAATTATCTCAGCCCTGTGAGAGCTGCCCCTGAACACAGACAAGCACTTCTGTTCTAAGCAGAACACTTTTCCTTTTGTGTGCAAGAGTTTTCTGTGGCAGAACACTTTTCCTTTTGTGTGCAAGAGGTTTCTGTGGCCTTTCTCCATAAAGCTGTTCCCATCCTTCTGTGATGGAAAAGCCCTGATTTCGTTCTCATGGTGTTCTTTATCCACAGATTAGTGTGTCTGAGGTCACTGGATTAATGCTTCACATCCACTGCTGTCCTCAGGGAATAGAAGTTGCATCCTCAAATCCGATTATTTACTGAATTGGCTGGGCTGGAGCCAGTGCTTTGGGAAAGGTACTTTCAGACCTCTTTGGTTTTTAAAATGGTTTATTGATATGTGGGTTATTATCCCTTTTAACAACAAAACATGAAGTGCTCCAAGGTGACCAACTTTTTCCCAGTAACCAGTTTGTTTTTCCAAGTATCAGAATTCTGCAGGTACCTTTGCAGAATGTATTTACCTATATTTTTCTCCTTTTGTCAGCTGAGTTTTGGTTACCCTGTGTCCTCTGCACCTGCATCAGCCAGCCCAGACAGCACATCCTGCAGCCCAGGAGGGCACTGGGGTTCCAGGGGCCTTATAAATCAGTCTGGTGTATTTCTAATGATGCTGATGAGATCACAGAGAAAATAATTTGGATTGGAGGGTAGGTATTTGCTAAAGAAACAGTTCATAACACACACAGTCTTCAAGTGTAATATTACTTCATGAAAAAAAGGCAGGAGAAGCCAAATCCTCTGAAGCAACTCAGTGGTAATAGAAGTAAAAACCCATGTGCATCTGTGGCTGTTGGAAACCTGTAGGTGATGCCTTGAGAAGGCTGAGCTAGAACAGAGGCCAGACAGAGCTAAAGAATAAAGCAGGGATTTATTAACAGGATCTCCTCCATGGATCCACCTTGGGCAGCACAAGAGCCCAGCCAGGGCTGCACCCAAGGTGAACCAAAATGGGCACAAAATGGACACCTGGGCATGGGGTCTGACACTGTGATCAGTTCTGCTCCATTTGCATATTGGAGTTAATTGTCCAATTACAGCTTCAGATTATTAAGTCCCATCCTTCTTGTTTTTCTCTCTTCAGCCCACGTTGTTTGTGCTCTTGGGCCTGAGATTTGGATCATTTGTCCTTGGTCCCCAGCTAGAGAAGGAATTGTTTTGTCTCCCTACCCTGAAGAGAGCTCCCCAATACTTAGCTCAGAACTACACACCCAGGCAGCACAGAATGTGAAAAATATGAAAGCTAAAACTTAAGGTATCATAGGAACCCCTGGAACGAGGACCATGCCACAGGGGTTTGGTGCCTTGTGGGCTGGGCGGGCTGGCACTGAGCTCTCAGCACTGAGCTCTCAAGGTGGAGCATTTTCCAACAAATTCAAAACCCACATCATTGCACATTGGCAACATGCTGGAAAGCAGATGTTCAGATATTCAGAAGATATTCAGAACTGTCTGCCAGCCCACCAGAATGACTTTATTTGAGGATTTATTCAGAAAAGTGATTAAAAAAGTAAGCTCTGCTGTTGCAGACAGGTAGAAAAAGATGTATTATATATATATTGAAATATATATATATATATATATATATATATATATAATAAAAGAAAGGCCTCATACATCAGGCCTGCTCTGCTAAATTAATAGCTGGCCTGTCACTTCTAAATGCAGCTAAGTGGTTTGCAAGTTCCTATGTGGAAACAATCTTGGGAATGAGAGCTTGTTAACACAACAATCTATTCCTAGGGTGAAAGATAAGTGCATCTGTATAAACAATAAGCTCTGTCTCATGAGAATCAGTTCAAAAATTAAGTAAATTAACTTAAAATTCAGAAATTTGATAGATATGCAAAATACCATGTACTGACCAATGAACTAAGTGTGAATGTATTGTCCACCAATAAGGTCTGACACAGTGCCTCCTGATAATCCTATGAAATATCACCTGTACAATAAAGAATTGTTTTTTTCTGCTTAAAGAAACTGATTCCCACCTGCTTTATTGCATATTAAATATGCAATATTCTGCCAGCCATGTAGGGCACATAGAGTCAGTTTGGGGAGATGAAGAAAACAAAAGCAAGCAACACAGAGATGTAATTTTCCCTCATTTGTACTAAGCCCTCACAGTTAGATCTGATTTCTCCTGAAAGAGACAAAAAAAAAGAATGTCCCTTGTACCCATCCTGCCTTTGTCTGTAATTGAATTATAATCACCCCCATTGCTCTTGTGGAGAAAGCTGGTGCTAAAATATTACTGCAGAGTGGTTTTGGCAACACAGAACTTTGCTTAAAGGTTATTAATGCTCCTACTGAAGTGTTCTAGAGGTGACTTTTGAAGTATTTTTGGGATATTCTAATATAACATACAAATAACAGTGAAAGGATGTTATTTATGCGTTTGGATTGCAAATTGATGGGGAGTTAAGTCCCTCCCAGCTATCACAGAAATGTTCTTTGGTTCAACTTTTCAGGGCAATGTAGGGCAAAGTGGACTGTTCCTAGCTCAGTTAAGCCTTGTCAAAATAAAAAATGGTCTTATTTTTGGCAGATTTGATAAAAAATTAATAGTTTTGCTGCTTCTTGTAATTAAAACAGAATCTATTGCTAATTTTCAACTTTTTAAAAAGACGTTTTTGCAGGTGCACCAGCGGATAAATGTGTGCTGAATAGAAATTTTAACTGTTGGTACTTGTTAGAGAAATGCATTCACAATAAAAACAGAGTTCACCAAAGAGCAGCTTGAGAGGTGATTTTCCATTTTTTGCAGCTAATTAAGCACAGAAATGAAGCAGTGGTGCTGGGTTTTCTACATGGCTGACAAACAGAGAAAAACTCAGCTGCTGAAATTAGAAATAAAGACAAATTCAATAATTAGCAAAGTGCGTTGGGCATAGGGAGATGTTTGGTTGGGGTTTTTTTAACTGTCAGGTTTTGCATATTTAGATTTTGCTGAAGCATTGATAATTTCCATTGAGCTGTTGGAAAACCCAGGATTTGGTGGACTGAAAAAATGAAGTGTTACAAAAGAATCTTCAGTAGTGGATAGAGAGCTGCAGGAATGTTTGGGAAGTGTAGGAACAGTGTGGAGAGACAGGAAATCCTCTGATGAACTCACTTTTTAACAAAGCTCTTGGTAATGACCAAAAAATGGAAGGGGTGAGAAATAAAACTCATATTCTCACCCCTCAGTCATAGAATTTGGATTTAATCTTATTAACTGAGTTTTCCACAAGCTAAGCCTTAAAATGTAATAAGACATTAATTTTTTTCTTGATTTTCCATCAGAACAGAAAAAAAAATCTTATTTTTTATAGTTTTATCCCATGTAAATTAGAGCATTTGCACAGAGATGGAATCTGGTATAAAATACTCCTAAGGAACCTTGTTTGTTCCCAAGGTGGACAGGCAGCACTGCCAATGTTATTTCACAGAATTCCATGGCTTTTCCAGTAACATTTGTGATTGGTAGAAGATGTGGTCTTTCCTCTCTCCTTGTTAAGTTAATGAAATAATTCAATAGAATATACTGACTATATCTTCTATACGTGTGTATACATATATATATATAACCAAGACTAATTACCCTCTCTATGTAGGCAGGTTCTGGTTAATAAATTTGAAGTGATCATATTAATTAGCTCATTGACACTTGAATTGTGGTCTGTTTTAAAATGATTCTACAATACTAGAGAGAAAAATCTTTTTTAGGAACTAATCACTTCATTCATAAATTTTATTTCTGCAGAAGAGAGAATTGGAAGAACGTTCATCAGCTGTGAGTCATGACATAATAGAATCATACCAGAGTCTGTGGAATCCTTCAGAAATTATTGAAAAATTGGTAAAGTGACTAATCTGCAGTTGTGGATTTGAGGTAAGTGTCAGCTACTATAAATTAGATACCACTTCTTTGAACTTGTCCTATTCAAATTATTTAACTAAAATTATGGTTCTATACCCAATAATATTAATTATTATATTTCAATTATTTATATTTTAATATTTGCAAAATTTCTCTGTGTAATTTACGTAAACAAATGGATTTTCCTTATTTTCTCTGTGCTTTGTGTAAAATACATTAGAGAAGGAATTTTCTTGTTAAACAATATACTTGAGCAAGTAAGTAAAGGTTACACTTTAAATTCATATATCCTATGAAAAAGAAAGGGAAGATATGTTTTTCTTACATGTCAAAAACCCCCAAATACAAAAGAATAGTCCTGCTTTAATTTGATCTAAATGAAATGGCAGCAAAAAAAGGAACAGCGGGGAGAAAAGAAAAATTGTGCTACTAATGGATTGTGATGTGTGAAATGGAATTGGAGATGACAGGGGAATATCAGAGACCAGACAAAGCTCTTAAAGACACATCAGGAATGGCTGGCAAATGATCACCTCACCCAAGATGGGAAGTTCTGGAGCCAGCTTGTTCCAGAACAATCTGTGGGATGGGGATGTGTTTTCATGGTGTCCTTGAGGCTCCAGACAACTGGAATAGAAACTGAAATGATATTTGTAATCCAGGTGAAATAAGCAGGGGAAAAGAAAGAATTGTAAAAGATTTTTCTCTGGAGTGAGACATGTTTGTAGAAGCAATTATTTGTAGAGGCAGGGATCACACTGGAATTTTTCCCTCCAGGAATGAAGGCCTTCAAGGCCTGTTCTGATGCCCATGGCAGCCAGCAGAAGGATGCTTGCCATGAAGCAGCAGAAGCAATCTCTGGAGGAGATTCCCACAACACCCAGCCTCACTTGAGTTGTCCTGCTTGCGCCAGGTTGAGCTCATTTTGCTTGAAACAGAGGATGAGGAGTGATGGACACTGGAGATGAGGAGTGGTGGACAATGGGGATGAGGAGTGGTGGACATTGAGGATTAAGAATGATGAATATTGAGGATGAGGAGTGATGGACACTGGGGATGAGGAGTGATGGACACTGGGGATGAGGAATGATGAATATTGAGGATGAGGAGTAGTGAACACTGAGGATGGGCAGTGGTGGACACTGAGGATGAGGAGTGATGGACATTGGGAACAAGCCAGTTAGCACTCAGCATGGAGCTCAGGCTCTTGGGATGGCTGTGAAAGCCATTGGCAGGAATGGAAAATGGGATTTATTTTTCTGGCATACATCAAACATGTGCCAAAATGAGTGATTCACTGGCTTACATTTGAAGTGAACATTGACAGATACATTTGAAGCATCTGAGCATTTTGGGAAGCAGCTTTCCCATCCTGTAGTTTTGTGACTCAGGGTTCTACAGTGTCCTCCAAGCTTTTGTGGTCCTGGGAAGTCCTGATGACAACACTAGAGAATGATAGAATTTATACACTAGAGTAGGCTGCCCTGTCCAGGCAGGGATAAAATACTGATTTTTACAAGATATTCTTTGCCTAAATGATGTATTTTGTACAGTGAATCCTTTCCTTATTCTGCCTTTAGAAATTTACACTTGGGAATCAGGAAAAAGTCCAGCTCCATCTTTCTTTTTCAAGTGGTTGTTGATGAGAATGTGGCAAGCTCCTCTTTCAGAGCATCACATGCACATTTCCTCTGTAACGTGGGAATGGCCTCATTTCCAGTTTGACTGAAAGAAATTTTGTCCATCCTCCAAGAAAATGGTCAAATACATTCCTTCCTTAAACAGGTGAACAATTCATCTTCGCACCTTGGGTGTTTGCAAAGTCCAGCCTGAAAACTCCAAACACTTTTATTCCGTGTACTTTCTCCTCATGTCCACTAGAATATGGAGTTTTGAACTCTTAATGTTGACTTATTTTCATACACTGCTTGGCTTTTGAAGGGTGTCTGTAGCAGATCACAGCTTTCTTTGCAAAGAGTGTTTGGTGCAATGTCTGGCTTTGAAGAATTAATATACCAACATGATTTCAAAGCATAACTGTTGATTGATGTGAAAGGATTGTTGCTCATTGTTGAACTGTTGTATTTTTCTCTGTGTACACAGCAGGGGAGAAGGCAAAAATAAAAAAGGCATGGCAGGTGGGGCTGGAGGACTGCTGTGTTTTGGGTTTACATTTGTTCAACTTTCTCAGCAACTTCAAAGACTTTCTGTTTCTTCTGAAGCACTGTTGCACTCTTATCTGTAACCAGTGCTTAATGTTCATCTTTTTTATCATTTCAGTCCACAACCAAGCTTTTGTACAAACAAAGCAGCACTGGCTGCAGTGATAGAGATGATGTATCACTGGCTGTGCTGAGATTTGTACATACATCATATAACAAGTGACACAGAAGGGATTTTGCAAAACAGTCTGTCAAAAAGTGATGAGGTTTCTAGATGCTCTTTGCTCTGAAAAGGGGTTATAAAAGTGTTTGTTTTCAAAGAAGGGTTCTTTAATCTATGCTAGAACTATCAGTAATGCCAGCTGCTGTTGTCTTCAGTTTCTCTGGAAGCCTGCTGAGCTCCTCTGAAGGTGTGCATTACCCTTCCTAATTAAATTGGGGTGATCAGCTTGATGAATGCCCAGCTAAAATGTGCTTTCTGTAAACACTGAGAGTTTTTATAGCTGTAGGAAAAAAAGTAAGGAGTTAAATTATGCACAGAAACAAAATGTTTCCCTGACTTCTTCCCATCATTCATAATTGACTTTCTTTAATCTTCTGTGGTCATTTTACAAGCTTCATGACCTCTGTTATTCTGAGTGCTATCAAAGTACTGTGGTCTTAGTTTAGGGGTCAAAGTGTCTCTCACCTGCCTGTGATTGGCCTGAATCCTGCAGGAATGTAACTGCTTTAAAGGTGTTGGTCTCTCTGGCATGTCTAGTGGAAAATCATCAGTGTGGTAGGAAGTTAGTGTGGGAAAAACAGGCTAAGGAGCTCTTCCTCCTCTCCCAGAAGTTGTGTGTCTGTAGGGAGCCAGCTGGGAGCTGGAGGGCACCAGGGCAGTTGATGCTTTTCCCCTGAGGGTCTGTGCACTGCAGTGACACCAACATTGATTCAGCTGCACTGAGGGACATCCCAGCCCCACTGGAACCCGTGTCTGTCCCAGCTGGGCATCTCTGGGATGGGGAATTCTGCCCTGTGCTCAGGTGAGACCCCACCTGCAGCACAGGAGGGACCTGGAGCTGCTGCAGAGAGCTCAGGGGAGGCACCAGCATGGGCAGAGGGATGGAGCAGCTCTGCTGGGAGGAAAGGCTGGCACAGCTGGGGGGGCTCACCTGGGCAGGAGAAGGCTCCAGGGAGAGCTCAGAGCCTCTGCCAGAGCCCAAAGGGGCTCCAGGAGAGCTGGAGAGGGACTGGGGACAAGGGATGGAGGGACAGGACACAGGGAATGGCTTCCCAGTGCCAGAGGGCAGGGATGGATGGGATATTGGGCATTAGGAATTGTTCCCTGGCAGGGTGGGCAGCTGTGGCTGCCCCTGGATCCCTGGCAGTGCCCAAGGCCAGGCTGGAGCAGCCTGGGACAGTGGAAGGTGTCCCTGCCCATGGCAGAGGTGGCACTGGATGGGCTTTAAGGTCCCTTGAACCCAAACAATTCCATGTTTGTATGATTGCTCTTTCAGTTGCAGATGACAAGGAGCTCATGGCTATTTTCTCTCTCTCTATCTTTTAATATTGTTGTGCCAGGAAATTGAGACTGCCTGAGGCTGCGGACATCAACGTGATCTGATTGTACTTGCAGCAGAAGCCACATTAAAATGAGCAGTTACATAAAATCAAAACAAACTTGGAAGAGCTAAAGGGTTTCTCTTTTCAGACAACTTTCTGAAGAAGGTAAGGCAGAGCTGTGAGCAGCACTCTGCAATGTTTCCAATCTGGGCCTCAGTTCTTGGTAAACTCTGAGTGCTCCAGAAAGTGAACTAAAGCCCAGAGAACATTAATTTCCTTACAGGCTCTAATTAAACATTTATTGTAGCTGCTATTTATTTCAAAATTCAAAAATTATCCCTGGGTATCTTTAGAGAATTAGAGCTGCTGGAGATCTTCTCTGGTACTACACCTGAATTGGAGAAAGACTTGCCAGTTACTGTAAAAATCAGCCAATTTCTAAATGAGAATACTTTAATTAAATTAATTTCCTTCACTTCTCAAGGCTGGTTTTGACAAAGCATTGCTAAGAAAACAAATAGTGTAGAAAATGGTTTGGGGTTAGTTACTTAGGGGCTCCTAAAACCCCAGGTATCTTAGTGTATTAGAAAAGCACCAGATAACCTGAATGCCTTGGTGTGAACTTTGCAATATTTTGTACTCAAATCTGACTTTTGCTAAAGTACAAAATAGGTGAAATGTTGACTGTGTTGTTCTTCCATGTGTAACCAAAATATTTTTTCTCCTGGTGGTGGCAGTGCTGGGTGAAAAATTCACACTGAAAAGCAAGATCAGGAAAAACTTCCTAATTTATTTTCTAATTTAACTGACCCCCTCCATTAAATGGACACATTTTGGGTCCAAAATGGGGATCAGTTTTTCATAGCACACATTGGGGAGATGCTTTAAAATAAGAAATCAAATAAAGAATAAGTTTAGGACAAATGCATTTCTTCTGAGAACTCTGTTCTTTAGGCCTTTTGCCTGTAATAGAATTCATATTCTGCTTGATTTTCACCATATTGTGTAAAGGAAGCTAAGTAACATGTTTTTGTCAATGTCATTTGCACAGTTTTAAGCTTTTTGAAGTGTTGAGAAATAGGTCACTTCCCCTGAATTCAGCAGTCAGTTTTCATGTTTAGTGGAGCTGAAGGTTAGGAAAAGTTTCAAAGCCTCTTTTGTTTTTCTTTTTTAAGCCATTATTCAACCTTGAAATGAAAACTCACTCACTAAACTATGCTAAATAGCTCATTTCCCTCGTTTGCTGATGGGGCTAAATGGCCTTTTGGAGATATTTATGAAGATGACTTACCTTTTTCTTATGCACAACAGTCACACTTTCTCATCCGTGTAATGGAAACAAGAGAGACTGAGGACTTTGCCTCTCTGAAATGGTTTAGCTGTTTTCCCAATAAATTTACTCTTTCAATACAAGACTTCTACATTTTAGAATGAATCAGAAGATAAACTTCAGAAGATAAACTTTTTTTTTTTTCCCTAAGGATTTGACTATGAAAATATTGAACTTCCTTGGAAAAGTTTGGATTCCTGAGAGCAGGAGGGTGTCAGCTGTGGTGGATGTGTGTCCCCTCTGTCAGGGTGCAGGTGAGGAAAGGGAGGAGAGGCTCAGATTCCATGGGATTCCACTGGGCTGGAGGGCAGGGAGTGGAGAGGAGCGTGCTGAGCGTGCTGCTTCTGAATGCTCTGTGAACAGGAACTGGCTGAGATGGACAGATAGGGGGGATTCTGCATTTAGAGAATTCAGTGATGTGCACCTTCCTCAGCTTTTCCCAGCTCCTGAAGGAGCAGGGAAGGGACACAAGTGGCATTGTGGCTGAATTCCTGCCATGCACAGGGACAGGGAACACCTACCAGTGCATCCTGCACACCTGGGGTTCCCCTGGTGCAGCCTTTGTGCACACGTTGTGACTCCTGGTGCTCCCCTGGTTGTCTCCTCCTGTTCCCCCGGTGCTCCCCTGATGTTCCCCTGGTTGTTCCACTGATGCTCTCCTTGCTGTTCTCCTGATGCTCTCCCTGGTGCTCCCCTGGTTGTCTCCTGATGCTCCCTTGGTTGTCTACTGGTTCTCCTCTGATGTCCCCCTGGTTGTCCCCTGGTTGTCCCCTGCTGTTTCCCGGTGCTCCCCTGCTGTTCCCCTGGTTGTCCCCTGGTTGTCCCCTGCTGTTTCCCGGTGCTCCCCTCTTTGTCCCCTGTTGT